TAGGTAATTAGGCATCCCTTACAATGCCTTACATGATATTGCAAAACCAGTGGTAAAAGTGTTTGGCTATTATGGGGTTTTATTTCTAGGCAAATTTACGTTCAGTAGTTTGCTACCGCTACTGCACGGTCGGCTCCTTATACCACTATTGACATTAACACAAGGCAGCCTGCTGCCAAATCGCCTGCAGCTGGGATAGAACGAAGTACCCCGACATTACGAAGCGCATTCACAACACCTAAGCCATATATGCCAAGACAGAATAAGTGTTTCATACGGAAAGGAGAAAATACGTACCTATGGATATACAGTAGATAGTATAAGGTTTTGGGAGAAATAGGGGGAGGGGAGAGAGAGAGAGAGAGAGAGAGAGAGAGAGAGAGAGAGAGAGAGAGAGAGAGAGAGAGAGAGAGAGAGAGAGAGAGAGAGAGAGAACCAGAAAACAATACATAAAGATAGAAATTACTACCAGAAAGGTTTATTTGCTTCACCCTAACCAGCAAAAAGGAACATCAATGAACTTGCCTAATTGTTTATCTTCGCTGGCAAAGGCTATATCGGTTGATTTCTTACCGCCTCGTTCTAGAATGGACTGGCATAGGCGCCGAATCTCAGATGCTCCAGCACCTGGCCTACACCCTCCACCCCCTTTCACACACACACACACACACACACACAATCATTGTTGAGGCTAGACTGCTCCCCCTCCCCCTACCTTCAAGCAGACTAAATGCCCCCCCACCAGTCTTGTATAGGAGTTCTCTTTTTGAGTATTTTTTGTATATTTCATTTTTTTTTTAATGAATCGTTATATTTATTAACCATTCTACACGTAATAATTATAATTACTACTATTATTATTGTTTGCTTAAAAAAGGCTTAATTTTTCAGTCCCCCCTCCCCCCTCCCTGGCCCCGCCTCTAGAAATTTATAAGGCTAAACACTTCAATGACATAGAGTCCGTAATTTTCTTGCAAACGTCTTATCTGTCTGTCGGGCTCAAACTCGCATTAAGGACACAGCTTTATAGAAAGTTGCCAAAGCCATCAGTCGCCGCCAGAAATACAGCTTGTCGTTGGTGCCCCCCCCCCCCCCAATAATTTCTTCTGTGGAGACACCCCTGTGGACTGCATTTCTTCTTTCTTGAATGGGGCAGGTTATCTCAAAACCTGAAAGGGCGCCGTTCTGACAGCACATACCCAGTGTTGCCACTTTGGATATTTTACATCCAGATTTAGATGCTTTTTCTTGCATTTAGATGACGTTTTTGAGGTTAGATGGTAGATGTTTTTCTAGAAGTTTTTCATCTGCAGTGAATTTATCAAATCTAACCTAAGAAACAGGATAAAATTTGACCTCTTAAATGCTATCTTGACAATAAATTTCAGCCTGATAAGAGCATAAAAATGCTGTTCCACTTATCAGCTCCCTAATTGTGTATTAAAAGAAACTGGAACAGCTAAAGCATAGCAGAGTCATTTTGGATCTGAAGCTTCAACTTCATCATCCAAGCTAAGTTTATTTTGTGGATCTTGTAATGCAGACTTCAGTAAAGATGAGGTCATCATTCTATAGGGTAAGTCATATCAATAGCTATGTAATTTGTGACTCTTTCTATTTGGATTTTTTCTAGATGTTTTCCACGCAAATTTAGATGTTTTTAGATATTTTTTGACTCCGTTTTTGGATATTTTTGTCAAAGAAAAGTGGCAAACACGCACATACCATCTCACGCCACTACGTCCAGTCATTGCTTCCTGAGAAAACAAGTCTCTGTAAACGCACAAGCCTCACAGGTGGTTCGTAACTGGGTGCATGCACCAGAAGGGGTTTCTAATAGACCGGGTGAGCTGGTTCTCAATCAGTTTCTTTCGTAGAGTTTTGGCGGACGTTCCTTCTTTTTACTGTAAAAATGTTTATGCCGATAAAAACAACGAAATAAATAGGTACTACTTTTACTTCCGCTACACCTATCGCTGCTGCTGCTACTACTACTGCTACCGACACCACCATAACTACTACTACTGCTGCTGCTGCTGCTACTGCTACTACTACTACTACTACTACTACTACTACTACTACTACTACTACTACTACTAGTACTACTACTACTAGTTCGTCTTCTTCTTTTTCTTATTCTTCTTACTCTCCTGCGTTCGTACTTAAAAGGGCTGCTGAAACATTGTGTTTTGGTTTTGTTGCTTGACTGCGATATTTGCGTCTTTCTATCTAACACATCAGATTTAAGAAGACCACTAAACTATCCGTCTTTTACGACATGCTTCTTGAGGGTCGAGGAGGGGGTGGGGGTAGATCTGCCACAAGATGAGGTCTGAGCACCAACAAACAGGAAACAAGAGGTCCGAAAAATACAGAACGGAAAATGAGTTTTTAAAAGTAATAAAAACAGAAAGGTGAAATATTTCGGCTTCGTTAAAAGATACGACACTCTTATTTAAAGAGGGAAAATGTGAGGGTAATACTGAAAGCGAAATATTATGCAGCGAAACAAAAGGGATTACACCATCGTGAGATGGAAGAGCAGCTGTCTTAAAGGGTGTACAACCAAGGTGGGAGATAAAAGGAGAGTTGAAGATCCACTGCATTCAATCTTAATTGATAAACTGACATCTGACTGATTAAACCGTTATGACCTTTGACATGGAATGCCTTTCATTTGTGCAGCGGCTGAGTCGTGGTATACAATATGGCCGGTGGCAGGTTTACGAATAAGCTTTAGAAATACCTTATGCAGTAATTTTACGTGTATATAGTCAACATATCCTCACCGACTACTTTCATCCAGAACAAGTTGCATTTCTGGCTGCAACTGTTGGTTTTGGCGCGTCAAGCAACTTAGGCACTTACTGCTTGCACATATTTATGGATTGTGCCGGGACTAATTGTTCTCCAGTTTTTCATTGGGACAATGAGGGACATTTCTTTTGATTTTCACTGGCACAGGAACGGAGAAAAATATAGGCTAACCCGATTACGGTGTTGTTGAAACCTCGACTACGACTACGAGTATCTTTGACAACAGTTACATTTGGTTATACCTTGATTTGTTAACTTAACCCCATTAGTTCCAAATGTTAAATCGAGCCTGTTCTGTCGTATGGTAGTGAATCTTGGAATTTGAGCAAGCTAATTAGGAGGAGTTTGGAGGCTACTGGTATGTCGTTCTTGAGAAGAATGTTGAGAATAACTTGGACTGCCAGAAAAACCAACATTGAATGCCTGGAAATGGCTAACGAAAGTAGAACATTATATACAACAATGAGAAGGCGACAAACAAAGTTCTTTCGTCACGTGATGAGAACAGGGGCACTGGAAAACATTGTGACGACTGGAAAGATCACTGATAGAAGATGGAGACTAAAAGAAATGAGGGTAGATGGTTTAGGACAGTGACATGGAGGAATATCATCAGTAGAATTGTTTCAAAACACAAAAGGCCGAGATCTGTGGCGACGCATGAACGTCCAAGCCAGCTGGCAAGGCACTTGATGATAATCAGTTCCAAATGTTAATTAGTTGCATTTCCTTTACAAGACGCTGCAGAACCAACCCCAGCGGTGGTTGTTTTTTATAGGCACATTTACGTTCAGTGGTAGGCTCTCGTTACCACTGTTGAAACCAACATAAAATTGTCTGTTGCCAAATCGCCTGCAGCTGGCATCGAACCTGACACCCCCTCATTTCGAAGTGCATTTTCAACTCCTAAGCCACAGACGCCGACAATGGATACCAATGTTTATGTTTATTCAACGGATCACCATCATGGCACACGGGTTTAACCCATACGTGTTCCTTCTACTTCTAACTCAAGCCTGTCTGAAGAATCTCAGTGCAGTGCACGAACTCCGTTGCACCGGCGAGGATCTTTAAATACTTTGGGTAGATTTTTACCTCCAAATTGTGCCAGGCAGCGCAGTTAGGCTACTCTTTTTTTACGTGCGCAACAATACACAAGGGCGTCCGGTCTCACTACCCAGAGACCAGGGAAAATTACTAGACTTACGCGTAAACAAAATCTGAGCCTTCACCGGGCTTGAAAACGGGACCTCCAGCACTCGAGGTGGACGCCACTCCTCGAGACTACTCAGTCCCCTCCCCCTCCCTAATTGGATACCAAGTATTAGTGTAAACAACAGGGGGAAACAAAGTATGTGATTGCCTTACATAATATTCAATAACCTGCTACAGCTAACCACTGACTTGCTACAACGAACAACCGACGTGCTGCAACGAACCACTGACATGCTACAACAGACTACACACCTGTCACAACGAACCACCGACGTGCTACAACAAACCACCGACGTGCTACAATGAACTAAAGACCTGCCACAACGAACCACTGACGTGCTATAGCGAACCATCGACGTGCTATAACGTTCAGTCTCTTTTTTCACAACAACTAAATCATAAGAAAAATACATCAATCAACATCACAGCGTAAATCATTTACAGAAGGTCGCTCCTATTACAGCGAACAAAAGAAACCTTGTCTCTTGCCGGACCATTCCCCCTCCCCTACCCCCATGCACAATCGTATCAAAAGTGCCGCCTATGACTCGTCCCTACCAGTTTTTAGAAACCTAGTTGACACGATCGGGTTTTTCATGAAATCCCCATTTACGAAACACACAAACGGGGGCTTTCCGTTAATTTTACTTCACTTCAGCACCGCAAGGTACCGGAGGATCAAGATGAGATGAGATAATGAGGAAATACCTGAAACAAATTATGACTATAAATCTCAAAGAAAGACAAGGGAAAGACGTGCACGCAAAAATACGACAAACGTTTCGACTGGACTAAACGACATGCAACTCAAAACAATCGACAAGGTCAACGTGAAATCAGATTATACATGACAAAAGAAAGTATGAACTGGAAACGCTATTACGAAACGAAACATAGACAAAAGAGCGGGAAACGAATATTTGACATAAATTGTTTTTTTTTACGAATTACAGTTACAAATAAGGTACTTACGCGTAACTCTTCGGAAAAGTCTTATTCCTCTGTGTTTTCAGCAACTGCTGAGAATTCAAATTACAAGGTTCTGCCGAAATGGCTAAACGTTTAGTCCGTTCTTCCCGTTGAACAGATCCACCCGTGGCAGCTCCACTACTTGCACCAACGATTCCGCCATTAGCTATAGCTGCAGTCTTTTTTACTGTTGCAGATTTCAAATTTAACACTTGGTGCTTGGTAGTTGGAAAGTTCAGATCCGGGTACTGTACTTGACGCTGCAGACCTGGACTGTTGACCGCTGTTGAAGGCATCACAGATCTGTATTTATCCAGTTCCGTCTGCAGCCTCTATTGTGAGAGCGCCAAAGAGATGATAAAATATATAGATCTGATGGAGAACTTGTTATTTCGTTAAAATTCCAAATATGCTGCATTCGCTTCTTTACATTTTGGTCTGGGATTGGAACCTAAGCAGCTGCTTAGCGACTCAGCCACATTAATATCGGAACAGATTCAATCTATTGCAGCTACACAGTCACACAACTAAAGCTACGGTCATATACTCCAGTTACTCCTCTAATTACTACTCCAGTTACTCCTCCACTCACTCCTCTAATTACTTCTACACTTATTCCTCCACTTATTCCTCCACTTATCCCTCCACTGACTCCTCCACTTACTCCTACAGTTACTCCAGCTGTAGCGTGGAACTATTCTCGCTACCCAGTCACAATCACACTACCACACCTAGAGTTACACAGTTGATACTATGTTTCCCTTTACCAAAACTATACATTCTCGCACATTCTGCTCCCACAACACGAGATTGTTCAACATATTTTGTAACAGACCACCACACGCGATAAACAAACGTACTATTATGAAACATCACAGCATATTTCATCATCATTACTGGGTAATATTTAAATGCACCCCAATCATCACACAAACTGTTATGTAACACCCACCATAACCCATCATTACACAAACTGTTATGTAACACCCACCACAACCCACCAATACACAAACTATTCTGTAACACCCACCACAACCCATCATTACACAGACTGTTCTGTAACACCCACCACAACCCATCATTACACAAACTGTTCTGTAACACCCACCACAACCCATCATCACACAAACTGTTCTGTAACACCCACCACATCCCATCATCACACAAACTGTTCTGTAACACCCACCACAACCCATCATCACACAAACTGTTCTGTAACACCCACCACAACCCATCATCACACAAACTGTTATGTAACACCCACCACAACCCATCATCACACAAACTGTTATGTAACACCCACCACAACCCATCATTACACAGACTGTTCTGTAACACCCACCACAACCCATCATTACACAGACTGTTATGTAACACCCACCACAACCCATCATTACACTAACTGTTATGTAACACCCACCACAACCCATCATTACACAGACTGTTCTGTAACACACATCACAACCCATCATTACACAGACTGTTATGTAACACCCACCACAACCCATCATTACACAGACTGTTATGTAACACCCACCACAACCCATCATTACGCAGACTGTTATGTAACACCCACCACAACCCATCATTACACAAACTGTTCTGTAACACTAACCACAACCCACCATTTCATAGACTGTTCTGTAACACCCACCACAACCCATCATTACACAGACTGTTCTGTAACACCCACCACAACCCACCATTTCATAGACTGTTCTGTAACACCCATCACAACCCATCATTACACAGACTGTTCTGTAACACCCACCACAAACCATCATCACACAAACTGTTATGTAACACCCACCACAACCCATCATTACACAGACTGTTCTGTAACACCCACCACAACTTATCATTACACAGACTGTTATGTAACACCCACCACAACCCATCATTACACTAACTGTTCTGTAACACCCACCACAACCCATCATTACACAGACTGTTATGCAACACCCACCACAACCCATCATTACACAAACTGTTCTGTAACACACACCACAACCCATCATTACACAGACTGTTATGTAACACACACCACAACCCATCATTGCACTAACTGTTCTGTAACACACACCACAACCCATCATTACACAGACTGTTATGCAACACCCACCACAACCCATCATTACACAGACTGTTATGCAACACCCACCACAACCCATCATTACACAGACTGTTCTGTAACACACACCACAACCCATCATTACACAGACTGTTATGTAACACCCACCACAACCCATCATTACACAGACTGTTCTGTAACACCCACCACAACCCATCATCACACAAACTGTTCTGTAACACTAACCACAACCCACCATTTCATAGACTGTTCTGTAACACACACCACAACCCATCATTACACAAACTGTTCTGTAACACCCACCACAACCCATCATTACACAGACTGTTCTGTATCACCCACCACCACCCACCATTACACAAACTGTTCTGTTACACCCACCACAACCCACCATTACACAAACTGTTCTGTTACACCAACCACAACCCACCATCACACAAACTGTTCTGTAACACCCACCACAACCCACCATTACACAGACTGTTCTGTAACACCCACCACAACCCATCATTACACAGACTGTTCTGTAACATTCTACCATACTCCATCATCACACAAACTATTCTGTAACATTTCACCATACTCCATCATCACACAAATTATTCTGTGATTTCCACCATACGCCCATCATCCCACAAACTATTCGGTATCATTCCACCATACTCCATCACAACACAATTTATTCTGTGACATTCCACCACACGCCCTCATCACACAAACTATTCTGTAACATTCCACTACACGCCCTCACCACAAACTATTCTGTAACATCGAACCATACACCATCACCATACAAACTATTCTGTAACATCCCACCACACTCTATCCTCACACAAACTATTCTGTAACATCCCATCACACTCTATCTTCACACAAACTGTTCTGTAACATTCCACCACACTCCATATTCAAATAAACTATTTATCAACACACCCCCCCCCCCCCCACCCTCACCCCATATTTTATCAGCACACAAACCGTCCATCAGTGAAATGCTACCTGAATCACCGCATCTTTTTCATCTAACTCCATCTCCAGTTCGTCGATGAGTTCGTCTCGTTGGCGGAGCTCTTCTATCTTCTCCTGAAGCGCCAACTGCAGGTCTCGAAGGGTGCCCATTACCATGGTTACGCCAGGCAAGCTTCGTAAACAGGAAGCTGGTCGAGACAAGCTGAAACTGGTTAGATTCCGTAGCAAAACGCTGACTTCATACTTGGTGCAGCAGCGGATAGTTGCACTGCTGCAGGCTTTCACTGTTCTTTCGTGTTCTTCTGAAGCAGGTTCTAAAGTGTCGCCAAAGAAGCAATCGCCACTATCGCAGACGTCAAAAGGGAGCGCACTTATATTGTACAGTTCTATTCAGATGACACTTTGAACATTTTCGGCACTACACGACTGGCCATAACTTTGAGGTCCCTTTAACATCACATAATGACTGATCTTGCATCTTTGTCACCAAACCTGCTACAATCCACTCAATCCGATTTGATCGTTAGCTCTTCAAATGTCTTTGTGCCTTGTATTAACTCCGCCCTCAATCATTTAAATCTTGTATTTGTAATTCCTTAAGAAAAACGATTTACTTAAAGTAATAACTAAAAATGGTTGAAAGAGTTATAATGCGCAGTGAGAACCGAGAGTAGCTTTTAACAACCTGAACAAAACAAGGAACTCTAAATGACATAGTTTTAAATTCAAGTTACGTATTTTGTTGGTTTGTTTTGTTTTTCCAGTTTCATCGATGCAAATGAAAGTTGAAGAACCACTAAAGATATTAAATGAAAGTTAGATGGAGAAATTTAGGAACATCACAAAAAGTGAACTTAAGACAGGCGAAAAACACACACGCACAAGTGGACATTCCTGACAAGTCAGTTTAACCTTACGACCCCTTCCATCCCTCCCCCAAACTCCCCCCTCCGCCTTTGAGCCCACGCCACCCGAGTTAAAGGCTCGACAGTGATACTATTAAACCCTAACAGATGTAAAAAAAAAAAAAAATCACTAACATTATACGCTCCTGAAGTGCATTGAAAAATAAAAACAAAATGTTACAGTGAAAATTACTACCGACACATTTCAGTCATTAAAACTATCTAAACCTATCACATCTAATAAGGTAGCCAGAAATAATTATAAGTGTATGTAGTTTACTCGAGCTTATTTATTTCTAGATTTTCATCAAACGGGACATTTGTAGGTTTTTAAAAACGGGACTTCCCGATAGAAATAGGACGCGGACAAGAAGCAGAAAAAGGAGGAGGAGGAGGGGGGAGGAAGAGAAGAAGAAAATGAAGAAGAAGAAGAAGAAGAAGAAGAAGAAGAAGAAGAAGAAGAAGAAGAAGAAGAAGAAGAAGAAGAAGAAGAAGAAGAAGAAGAAGAAGAACAAGAAGAAGAACAAGAATAAGAACAAGAACAAGAAAAAGAAGAATAAGAATAAGAACAAGAAGAAGTAATAATTTTTTGGGTAACATTATGAGAAGAGGGAAGCCGGACCATGCTGTGACCACTGGAAAGATCTGTGGAAAGACAAAAAGGGGAAAACAACGTGAGAAGATTCTTGACAGTCTTTTTTTACATGGCATGGAGGGGTTTCAGCACACGAGCTGATACACGCAGTTGCTGATCACAGATTGTGGAGAGGAACAATCGCCCACGGCAGTCGGCAAGGCACTTGATGACGATGATGATGATAAGGATGATGATGGAATGATGAGAAAAAGAAGCAGAAAAAGACGAAACCTTGTCTGCACAAAAATACCTCTACATTTACTACATACTAACACATCATTTAAACTGTTTGAAAATTTAAAAACAACAACACGGGAATCACTTTTCACCAAAAGAATACACACACCAAAAATAAAAACCACAGCTCGAACACCTACACCGAAACAATCAACATTTTTATAAGCATCTTGGTTTGTCAGTTCCGACTAAGAAAGTAAACATTGGAAAATAAAACGGTTGTCATTGAAGGGTAGCCACGCGAAGTTTAAGACAACTTTCTCACAACAAAGTAGAGTTTAGAGTATGAGCGAAGGTTCTCGCGTGCCTGGCGCGTGCATGCATGTTTACAGCGGCACTGACTTAGCGGGTAATTTACCAGTAGCGTTAAGTATGCAACTCCATTTGCCAGAGGAAGATTTGTTTTAATGCTATACGCAAGAGTCCACTCTGAAATTGCTGTTTATCTGTCTTTGCGATTATTTTGTTAGCAATGTACAGCTCCCTTTGGCAAGGATGCTTTCTTTGCACTGCTATACGCAAGAGTCAAGTCTACTGTGTTATTCATGTCAAGAGCTGTTGCGTTTTCGTCCCTATGAAAACTGAAAAGATATAACTGAGTCACTCATTTATTGAGCTGAGTGTGTGGTGTAACACTATGAGCTGTCAATTTAATGTAGAATGCTGTTCAGTTTGTGCTCGGCGTGGTTTTGTGTTGTAAACTGCAGATTAAAAAAAAATGTTGAGTAGTCTGTTGCCAGAGAAACTGTGGTGTCTTATACGATTAACTGCGTGTGCAACTACTGATCTGTTGTAACTGCTGCTTCCACTGACGACAAACTGCATTTCCAGTGTCTGACTGTTTGTGTTGGCCCTTCTGACGGCTGCCTTATGCATTTAAACCACGAGCATGCTTTTGTATTACTTTTTTTTTCTGTGTAATTTATCACTGGCACAGGAACAGAGCAACTATGGATGACCCGTTTGGGGTTTTTTTTTTTTTTATATAACACCTTCTCGGGAACTCCAAGATTTCGTGGAGAATTCCTTGGAAAGTCCAATAGTATCGGGATGTTAGCGTGTGAACACCGACTAAACCTCCCCCTCCTCTTTTCCCTTTATAATATTGTACTTTCTGTGAGCTGCCCATAAAATCTCGGAGTCCCCAAGATTGGGGCGAGTAAAGAAAAGTACCCCTATTCGCTGTGAAGTTGGAACTTCCATTACCTGATTACATCTCCCCCCGACAATTCGATGAGGTACAAGGTGGAAGAGAAGAAGAAGAAGAAGAAGAAGATAACCCGAAACCGTTCCCTTTGCTGGGGAAGCTTTATGTTAATATTATATGTCAAGTCAAGTCTGAAATTACTGTTTATCTTTCTGACCCAAAGATTATTTAAATTACTGTTTATCTTTCTGATTCAAATATTATTTAAATTACTGTTTCTCTTTCTGACCCAAAGATTGTTTAAATTACTGTTTATCTTTTTGACCCAATGATTATTTAAATTACTGTTTATCTTTCTGACCCGAACATTATTTAAATTACTGTTTATCTTTCTGACCAAAGATTATTTAAATTACTGTCTATCTTTCTGATTCAAATATTATTTAAATTAATGTTTATCTTTCTGACCCAAAGATTATTTAAATTACTGTTTATCTTTTTGACCCAATGATTATTTAAATTACTGTTTATCTTTCTGACCCAAAGATTATTTAAATTATTGTTTATCTTTCTGACCCAAAGATTATTTAAATTTTGTTCCTCTTTCTGACCCAAAGATTATTTCAATTACTGTTTATCTTTCTGACCCAAAGATTGTTTAAATTACTGTTTATCTTTCTGACCCAAAGATTATTTAAATTACTGTTTATCTTTTTGACCCAAAGATTATTTAAATTACTGTTTATCTTTTTGACCCGAAGATTTTTTAAATTACTGTTCATCTTTCTGACCCAAAGATTATTTAAATTACTGTTTATCTTTCTGATCCAAAGATTATTTAAATTACTGTTTATCTTTCTGACCCAAATATTATTTAAATTACTGTTTATCTTTCTGACCCAAATATTATTTAAATTACTGTTTATCTTTCTGACCCAAAGATTATTTAAATTACTGTTTATCTTTCTGACTCAAATATTATTTAAATTACTGTTTATCTTTCTGACCCTAAGATTATTTGAATTACTGTTTATCTTTCTGACCCAAAGATTATTTAAATTACTGTTTATCTTTCTGACCCAAAGATTATTTAAATTACTGTTTATCTTTCTGACCCAAAGATTATTTAAATTACTGTTTATCTTTCTGACCCAAAGATTATTTAAATTACTGTTTAGCTTTCTGACCCAAAGATTATTTAAATTACTGTTTATCTTTTTGACCAGAAGATTTTTTAAATTACTGTTTATCTTTCTGACCCAAAGATTTTTTTAAATTACTGTTTATCTTTCTGACCCAAAGATTATTTAAATTACTGTTCATCTTTTTGACCCAAAGATTATTTAAATTACTGTTTATCTTTCTGACCCAAATATTATTTAAATTACTGTTTATCTTTCTGACCCAAATATTATTTAAATTACTGTTTATCTTTCTGACCCAAATATTATTTAAATTACTGTTTATCTTTCTGACCCAAAGATTATTTAAATTACTGTTTATCTTTCTGACACAAATATTATTTAAATTACTGTTTATCTTTCTGACCCTAAGATTATTTAAATTACTGTTTATCTTTCTGACCCAAAGATTATTTAAAATACTGTTTATCTTTCTGACCCAAAGATTATTCAAATTACTGTTTATCTTTCTGGCCCTAAGATTATTTAAATTACTGTTTATCTTTCTGACCCAAAGATTATTTAAATTACTCTTTATCTTTCTGACCCAAAAATTATTTAAATTACTGTTTATCTTTCTGACCCTAAGATTATTTAAATTACTGTTTATCTTTCTGACCCAAAGATTATTTAAATTACTGTTTCATCTTTCCGACCCAGGGAATTTAAATTACTGTTTATCTTTCTGCCCCAAAGATTATTTAAATTACTGTTTATCTTTCTGACCCAAAGATTATTTAAATTACTGTTTATCTTTCTGACCCAAAGATTATTTAAATTACTGTTTATCTTTCTGACCCAAAGATTATTTATTGGCAGAGATGTGCAGACTATGGCCCGATGTGCCAAAACTGGTCAGCAAGGCTGGTGTAAAATGACTATTTAACCTGGTCACACACACACACACACACACACACACACACACACACACACACACACACACACACACAAGCATACGTATAACGATAGAGGGAAAATCCAAATATCAACATTCAAAAAAGAAAAGTGATCACCAGAAATAGACACTAATAATGAAATAGCAGGCAACG